ATTTCAAAATCGAAATTATTTCTGTATAAAAACTGATTTGTTAATCCTCCACTTTACTACTATCCTAACTATGTTGTATGTTGTAATGTCGGTTATTATGTTAAGACCATATGCCTCATTGTAACTTCCGAACAGGCCAATCTATTTCATTCTACTTGGAGTCACATTTTGACTTTGTTAATTATTCACTTATCAATCTTGACTGTTTTTGTATGAGCGCATAATATGTGTGCCCTCCTTATCCTATTCATCAAATGTCTGTAGCTTATTTTTTGTGTGACAATAAATATTGATTAGGGCTTGGTTAGAGGGAGTCAGCTCAAGAGCCTTCTCCACTGCTTGTCACTTAGCCTCGTTCTCTTTTCTTCGCTTCTCTGATATTTTGTCTGGATCAAAGATTGTATGAAATATACGTATTCGAAATTCATTCTCGTATTTGACTCATTTAATTCCATTATTGACCAATGCGATTTAGTCGATGATTACATACGGCGATTGATGATATACATATCTCAATAGCAATCAGAAACGATCAAACTAGGGTCAGATTAAAAGATAGGTATCAAAAACATAGAACAAGTGAAGCAGTAATTAACTAGAATTCCGAAATCTAGGATACAGATTGGATGATAATCATAAAAGACTTTAAAAATTACATGAATTAAAGACTTATTCACATGCTTACTTACTTAATTATATTGCCCTTCATGGGTCATAGGCTTTAGGACCAAGAATCTCAAATCAACCAATCAACACATTTCTAGACACCGTAGTCAATACTGTAAAATCGTACGGTTTAAGTTATGAAACCCAGACAAATAAACAAACATCTAAAACTTACTGTTCGTAAATACACAGTACCCTAATTTAGAGATTTTCAGTTTACATACTCATTATCTTCCAAGCTTAGATCTGTTGACTTATACTTTCACAATAAGTAGATTGTTGTAAAACTGTAAGTCAAATTAAATTTCCAATATGTATTCAAACCATTAACAGATGAATGATTAAACAATCAACCAAGTAGTAAACTGAATTTCAACAGATAAAGCTTATTATAACTAATCATAATAATAAACATTAGTACTGTGTCAGCAATCAACACAAGTCAACACCATCTAATGAACAAGTCCTTGAAAATCAGTAAGTAGTTATTTCATCATTATCTAAAATCCTAGATTAATGTGTATTTATTATATTAAAGACATGGGATCAAATAATGGACAGTAAGATTTAGTGATAGTGGAGAAGATCTGTAGCCCAGGTGGATAATTTTTATGGAGTTTTGTTCTCGGAACTGGATGATTTGCTCGGGAAACTTTCATTGTCCTTCTGAACGACATCATCAGCGCAAACTTTAGGTAGAAGTGAAATGTTCGAATTTCTCCATATATGGCTCACAGCTTGTCCTGTAGACACCCCGATCTTATTTAGTTATTGTTGACTTTTAAAATATCATTATTTACTTCTTTATTTTGATCGCATCACCGAGTGATTTGATTCACGTTCAATATTTATTAGTGATTTTTCTGATTGATTGTTAGATCGGATCGATTTGAAAGTGTTTATTGATTACTGATTTTTCTGATTCACCTATCCACCAATATTATTACACTATAGCAGTCAATCATTTTCTAAATTGATGTTATTTCTTCATGAGAATTCCGATTCTTTTATATGAATATATTAAATAATAAGTATTAATGTATCATTTCTATATTAAAATTAATAATCCATTAAGGGGAAGTAAAACAATTTGAACAAATTGTATTCTATTCTTACTTCATCACAATCCAATTCGAAATAACAATAAACTAATTATTATTATACTACTTATTAGTACTTATAAGGTGAGCGCATCTACAACCCTAGTTCATTCACAACACTTCTACTTTACCTACATATATATATACCGAAAAAGAATAGAAAGCAATTTTAATGGATTTGAGATGTTAATTGAAAGAAGAAAAAAGGAACGACATAACAACACACCTAATTCTACTATTCACTAACACAAAAACAAACTTATCATATCGAGTTAATACACATATGTGTGCATATACATAAAGAAAAGTTTGGGAAAAATAAAATAAAATCTTATCATTTTAATATTAAAACAAAATAAAACAGAGAGTAACAGTAGGAATTAGTGAATATGAAAGGAAACTTGAACATGATAAATGAAATAATGTGTATTCATTTAGACAAGTATAGTAACAATGAAGGTAAATATATATAAACAATAACATAATCTATCTGTATTAAGGTGAGTAATAGTATTAATAATTGTCTTATTGAATTAATGCTTAATTAAAAAAAAAAACTATTTTTGAAAAAGGAAATACGCATTTATTATTCATAAAAAATGCGTTTTAAAGGCGACATTGAGTTTCTAGGCGTTTTTTTTTTCTTGGATGTTCCACAAGATTAACATTAAAACAACTGTGGTTTAGATTTATTATTCACAATTACCACCACCCACCCACCCATTAACCCACAATTTTTTCACATCTGGATTTGAAATCTTTATATCTGTCGTCACAATTGATTGATCACTGGGTGGTGATCAATGTCATGCGTGCCAAGTCCTTATTTAGTGCAGGTCAAATGCTATCGACCATGTTGCAATATAGGTGACACTCGTGCACTATATATTAAGATTAGATGGTGGTTGGAAGTAGTCAACAAGAAACCCTGGACCCGGGTTTTGTGCTACTTGGCACTCGTCAGTAAGGTGTACCTGTAATCTTGAGGGAACTGGTGCTCCCTGGCGGATTCGCACTGTGAAGCTGGGTGACACTGGGTCGAATCCGCCAGGGAGCACCAGTTCCCTCAAGATTACAGATACACCTTACTGACGAGTGCCAAGTAGCACAAAATCCGGGTCCAGGGTTTCCTGTCGACTACCTCCAACCACCATCTAATTACATCTGTCGTCTATTAGTATTAATAATTTTAAAGATGACGTCATCAGTTGCTTGTTTACACCTGTCACCCCTCGTGAAGGAGCATAGGCCACCCACCAACATTCACCATCCAACTCTATCCTGAACAATGTCATCAGTTAATATGATTTAAAAGCCAATATTATGGGTAGTAATTACCTTATTAGTAACAACGAACATTAGTGATAAGGTTATCATTATTTTATATAAAAATTCCAACGTGTTTGTTAATATGATATTATTTAGGTGAGAAAAATGTGCAACTAAATCTATTAAGCACATATATCAACAATTTATTCATTCACATTTTCTCAAATATTTTTTGTCAGAGATAAACGGAAAGCAACGATCATCTTAATTTCGTTGTTATTAAGAGTGTTTTCAGAACACAAAAAATATTTTTATCTGAGTTTTGATTGAACTTATCAATGGATGTCTTGCAATCGTATATATATATATATATATATATATATATATATATATATATATATATATATATATATATATATATATATATATATATATATATATATATATATATATATATATATATTTACGACAGGTATAAAGGCAAAGGGTTAAAATAATTACAGGGAAAAATAATTGATCATGAAATCTATTTCAATTATCTTGGAAGCTTCATTAGTCCTGGTGGGTCAGCGTCTGACGAAATATCAGCATGAATCCAAAACGTTTTACTGACTTTTGCCAACTTGCATCACTTGAGTCGAGGTGTCCGTTTACTAATCAAGGGAGGAGTATACTGTTCGGCTCAATGGATCTGAAATATGGCCAAAGAAACAGACTTTCATAGGTTACTAAAATTTCAGCATAAATGTTTTCGGACGATTGCTCACGTGTATTTGGACCGTAAAGTGACTAATCCCGAGATCAGAAATAGAATAGTAGGCAAGTATTACTATTGTCTAAACACATAAACATTGGTACAAGGAGGCACCAAATAGATATGCGCCACATAAACCATTTAATCTGTACGAGGGCTGGGACACAGCTGAGTGTCCTAACCGAAGCAGGTGGTTTTCCTAACGTGACCACATACAGTGCCTTCGACCTAAAGGTCTAACCCACAAGGCAGTGGAGCGTCGTGAGATGCAGTCCCGTGGTAGCCGGTGACCAGCAATTGGTTCATACTCCATTTGCTTCCTTAGGATCCTGGAGCCCATGTGCACTATTGGTTTGGAGTCAGAGCTTCCCAACTCCGTATCCAACAACCCGATTAAAGCGCCAGACATCCGCATTTCGTCTTCTCAATTTCGTAAACAACGCCGCCGCTGCGAGAAGCAGTGAGTAGGACTTCCCCGGCAGCGGTTGTATGCACATGTCTATGTGAGAGCATTTCGAGAGGAAGAGTTGAATCTCCCACTCTCGGCTGTAACAGGGCATTTGGGGTAAACGAGCAAATATGCTAAATCAATTGGCAAGATAGCTATTGCTCATCTACTACCTGGTTAGGATCTGCACGACTACTGTGATCAGTGGTTGGAGAATTCGGGCAGCATGACTCAAAACCGAATGCGACGACTACGTCTACATGAGTTTTAAAACTGTCTTACACCTATTATTCTGTGAATTTATTCTTTCTCAAATTATATGTTTTTATGGCCACAGATACTATTACTTATACTAATCCTGACTGACAAATAAGTAGCATTATATGTATATATATAAGAATGAATAACAATTGGATAGAATTAGAAAGGAAGGTCCAGGACAGAGTGGGTCGCAGAATACTGGTCGGCAGCCTATGCTCCATTGGAGTAACAGGCGTAAGTAAGTACCGATTTCTGTAACTAATTAATTTTACAAGTATAATTGGGCTTCAATCACTCAATATATTTACAGCTTACAGTATTTAACAAATAGTAAGCGCTGAAGAACAAACAATAATAATAATAATAATAATAATAATAATAATTTTTGATAGATGATGTTTGTCACAAGAAATAAGTCATGCTATTATCTATAAACAAAATAGTCATCTCTTAAAAAATTATGTACAAAGTTATAACACAAAAATTCCTTTTTGTGTTATTATCATTGATTTATTTCAATATCATCTGTATCTTCTTTGATAAGACCTTCTGTAAGCCAATCAACTTCAGCGGCTTCAGCAATTTTAACAGCTTCTGATAATAAATATTCATCATTTCCTGAAAATTCTTCAATATTATTATCGGTTATATCAGATTCATCGATTTGTTCAACAAAATCATCATCCTCGTCATCAGCCCAAATTAAATCATCTTCATCAATATTATCATTGAATTCATTTGAAAATATCTCTGAATGATTCGACTCAGGTGATGATGGAACAAGGAGACGTTTTCTTGGATTATTTTTATTAGGAGTAGTATTGTTAATCACTGATGATTGTGATTTTGATCTAAATAAACTAGTGGTCATTTTTGGTTCAGTCAAATGAATTTGATTCATTAAAGAATCATTCTTAGATTTAACTTTATTCTGATGATCATTATTATTGTCAATTTTCTTATCATTTTGAGAGTGAGTATTGCTACTTTCTTCATTGATTACTGATGATACAGTATCAAAATTTTCCCATTCTTCAAAATCATTCAATTCTTCTTTGAAATAATCTAGAATTTTTTGTTGTTCAAGTTTATTAGACTGAAGATCAGAAAAAGAAAAAAAAAACATACATTATTAACATTTTTTAAAATAAACTGATATCAATATTTTATTCAAAAGGATCTGCATTTTCCCGTTGTTAACGCTAACGAATCTAATCGATTAGTATCTATTGGGATATGTGAATTGTGAAGAGGCCGCTTTAATATGGCTATTAAGTCACCGGTTTATTGGCAGTTGGATATTGGTTAGCAGTGGAATCAAGGACGCACGTTTTATCCAATCTGAAACTCCTCAGTTGGATATAGATGGATATACCGTACCACTGGGATGAAGACACATATAATCGAGTTCCGAATAGGATGAAACGCCCGTTATGGATTCCACCGTCCAACTTTGCAAAGCAGTATATATTAGATATAAATATTTGTTTATAAACAACAATCAAATGAATATAATGGATTGTTCAGTATAGTGCATCGCAAATAATAACGTATGAAATCAGGTATACGTATCCGTTGAATATTCAAGTTGATATACACACTGAATCACCATAGAACAAAAGAGATAGATTAACCAGATGTATAACAAAATATAACGTTGTATGATATTATAAACGAAAAAAAACATAGAGAAGATGGTTCTATGACAAAGAATAAAAACCGAGATGTAGGAAATTATCTAGAATCTGAAGATTTAAAAGGGTAAGAAAAAAGAATGTTTCTGCGTTGCTATGACCGATTCTGAGCTGTTATAGGTGAGGAAGTGTTCACACGAGTAAAAATCAGTAACATCATCAATAAAAAAGCTAAAATAAACAAATCCTGATGTAATAGGTCACCGAAAAGATGCATATTCATTTTTCGCCCATTATATGCTTTATTTTGACCCATAGATTATTATTATTATTATTATTATTATTATTATTATTATTATTATTATTATTATTATTATTATTATTATACGATTTACCATTCTTGAGTTATGCCCTGTCTATTAATCACTACCTCCCACATTCACAGCCACTTATGGTTAGATCTTGTACAAATGTTATTTTCTATTTTATGGTACGATATGGTATGTCTGGTTTGTATATAGACCCAGTATGTTTGAAATAAATTATTCATATTGCAGAGGCTGGAATTGGTGTTCCGACTTTAACAGAAAGGGCTAGGCAGGAAGAAGGAACGATAAAGACGGAAGACTGCTCGTACGGGTTATATGCGTCATTGGTTCGGTCGATAAACCATTGTTCTCTAATTGGTGGTATGATTACGTTACATATTAATGGGGCACAAGTTCACGAGATATAACATGAAGTGCTACAATCACCACAAATATCCAGATTAAGAAATATAATTTCCTTTTATGTAGATATACTCCCATGTTTTATTGATGCGGCTTTGAAAACCAACCCAGCAATTAGTTTAGAGACTTACTGGTTCGTCTTTCACATTCAATTGTGAAGCTGACGTTAGTGAATCGTACAGTCTCTAAGACCCCGATCAGGGAGTTTCGACAAAACAACAGAAACTAGTTCCATACAACTTTCTTTCATACTGAGGCACCATTTCTTAAGAATAAGGAAATCAAAGCAGTTTTAAACTTATATACGAGGTTTTACAAGCCAAGTAGAGACTTTAACCTTTACATTTTATATCATACAGGTGATGATTGTATTCTCATCGATTAAGGTGTATTGTAGGAATGTTCATCATTCTATAAGGTATTCTAAAACACTTTTTAAATAACTATACTGAGATAAAACATTTTTTGACTAAATGAAAACAACAATAACATAGAAATTATTTATTCAACACATCAACCACTTTGACTTGTATTAATTTCAATAACCCGTTTTAGTTGAATATTGATTAAATAGATTACTAAAACTCAATTCACATTCAAAATTCAATCTTCTTCCATCTCTCTCTATACTACTCTTGAACATGTACACGCACAAAACTCAAAAATAACCAGAAGGAAATAATGGAAAAGACATCATCACTGCCATGATTACTGTACATACATATACACACAGAGACAGACAAATACACAATGAAACATTATCCATTTTATTCTATTAAGAAATAATAGTAAAAGAAACAAATTAAAACTAACCATAAAGGGGTAATATTTATGCGTATACAATAGAAGTGCGGTATGCACTGGGAGGAGAGCAGGATAGAAAGGGTGAGGATTCCGAAGAATAGAAAATGAAAGTAAACATTGAAATAAGAGCTTGACAGAGAAACTTTCTTATATTTTCTTCTCTTATTATTTGTCGCAATCATTCGCAAAAAGAATAATAACAACAACGATAATTGATAGAGCTGTCTGACTTGTCACACTCAAGGTCGACATATATATATACATAGATACTTCAGTGAGATGATTTATTTTGTTTCACATAAGTAATGAATTCATGACACAAAGATTTAAATAAACAAAAAATATTATGATTGATTTTTAAAAAAAAACCCCAACTAAACAACAATGGGAAACATAAAGGTTTATACAATTATGGATCATAGAAAAGAAAATGGTAAAGAGGATGATAGTAAGCAGTGTTAATATTTCAAATGAAATCAGTTCCAGTTAAGTTGAATAAATCATTTAATGAAGAAGTGAATTTGAACTATTAGTAGATGAGCCCAAGGAGAGAAATTTATGGAAGAAAAGGTTGTCATCATTATCTACTAATCGATTGATGATTCCGCTAGTTTGCTTAACATGAAATGATTACAATGGAAAATTTTTAGTTCAACCGGTTACCTGAGTGAGAAGTAAGCATTGTTGACTAAACTGAATCAAGAAATATCTAAACACTCATTCATATATAGTTTTGGCCCTTAGAAATCTAAGTGACGAGTTTAACCAACAGTGTGACTCGTCCGTTAGAAAAGACAGCTAAATATTAGCCGATAGTGCATAGTTATAACCTATACGACATCTAATTGATTCACTGTACCAGTTATAAGTATATTTGTATTAAAATCTACTAACATTAGAAGTAGGACATATTGAATTCGGGTTTAAGCGAGAACACACTAACATCCCAGTGGATATAATTAACAAAATATAATACATTGTTACAGTCTATGCTAAAGCGTTTATTAGATTTAAATATACCTTGATCAGCTATAACAGCTGAGACAATGAATGTATATACACATAAAACGAGCTTTTAATCAAAATCAAAAAGATCTCAAAAGCAAAGCTACTATTGACTAATCTAAACAAATTAACATAACTCTTTTACTAAACATTGATTTGTATCAGTCATTCAGAAGAAACAAAGGAAGTGGAAAATATGTGCATTGGTTTAGGTTGCCATAACATGCTAGCACAGAATAAGGGAATTATCTGGACAAACTCCAGAGGAAACATTAGGTATAGACAAGATGATTCGAGAATGAATTCGTGAAATGAAAAGCATAATACAATTCTAAGACTCAAGATCTAGAGGAAGACAAATACTGGACACATCTACACTATTGTAACCGATTTTGAGAAGTCACCTGAAGTCTTCAAAAAGTGATCGCGGTAATTGGACAGACTACAATAAGGTAGTCGGCAAGGCCAGGTTTCGCAAGCATAAAGCAAAACTACTCACCGGATATTTTACAGTTGAACTAACAGTAAAAATGTCTCAAAGACAGTTCCTACTGATATAAATAGCACTAGCTTCCAACAAACATGGAAGTATACATAGGTTTACACAATTATTAATAGATACCAGCTAACAGGATCTTTTTATTAACAGTCGAAAATAATAAGTTAAATAGTCGGAGACAATGGATAAAAAGCCGTGAATCAAGATTTGATACAATCCACAAATTAAAAGTAAAGCAGTTCTGTAATCTTAAAGATTCACATACTCGAAACCTACAGGCACAAATAATATGACTAACCATTGACTTATTCAAGTCGTAATAGACCTCGTCAGAATAAAAAGTTCTACAACAAAAAAGAATTAACAAATTATAATGCCATGTTGAACTGCGTGATTATAATCCCATCAAATGTATCAGTCTTGAAAATTATCAATAAACTACTATTGGACTTAGAAAATTTAAACTGCTCATCCAATCTAACCTATCATTTACACATAGTACTACAAAAAATACTTAGATATTAAAAGTTTGATACTACCAGTACAATAAACAATAAAAGTCAATAGAATAAAAAGAGAAAAAAAGAAAACATACACCAAGTCTTGTTGTAGAATCAGTCATTCGAAATGTTTCTCGATTTAAGCCAGCTTTGGACAACACTTCAAGTTTACGTTCCACAAGAGGCCTAAAATTGAATATACCATGACATAAGGTTAAACAATTCAAACCAGAATAATATTTCATGTAATGAACTTCTGCCCTAAATAATTTTGCATTATGATTAAATTTCTATCTTTTGGGATTATATTACATCATATCGAGCAGAGCAGTGAAAATACTCAAACTTCTAGAATCACAGAAAGTTCGAATCCTTGGAAATACCATCTGTATATGAATGATTTGCATGATTAATGTCGACAGATGAGGAAGCAAAGTTGAAAGATCATTCGACAACCATAAGTCTTAACGACTAGACATAGAACCAACAATGAAATAATGAGGGTTTATTACTCAGATGTATGCTTTTCAGTGATGTAACACAATCAAAAGTCAATACTCTTTGTTACTGTTGCTATAATTAAACAATAGGCTGCTACTATAATCTAAGATGAGTTAGGTTCAACTTTATATCTTCTATTCATTACAATGGTCTATTTGTTGCATTGAAGTGATTATAATTACATAGTAGTGGCTTACCTTTGTTAATCAATCACGCTGATAACCGTGATTACATAAATTGCAACGGTATTTGAAATCAGAAGGCAATAAGAAGAGGCAACTACAGTCTATAAGATAACACAGATCACAAATCTTCAAGCACATCGAGTGGATTTGAAGTACAAAGGCGAATGTGTGTATGCGAGCAAATACAGAGGTGAATTTATAGTCAAATAGAATAAGGCGCAGCTAGTCAAGGCAAAGGCTAGTGATAGGACTAGAGCAGATAAATGCATGAGAAAGAGAATGATTCATCGAGCAGCATATAAGCTATCAACATTTGAGCTAGAGAGATATGTGTGCAGGCTGTCACATGTGACCAAGCATACACGTTTATACAGATAAGATAGTGATCATAAAAGTATAAAGAAATAGACGAGTTATTACTACTCGAATAACATAACCTGTTAAGTTGATAAAAGGGCTTAACAAAAATTAGCCAACCATAATCAAAATCGATTGTAGGAGAGCTATTATAATAAAATTCATTTAATAAGTATGTTGATGAAAAATGACAAGCAGCCAGTCAATCAGTAACAACGTAGAACTTCGTACGTATGTACATCAGTTCGAGTTGCCACACCACATTAGCACAGAGGTACAGTTATCGATTCCCAACCCGTAGTGGTAGAGGTAGTAAGACTATAAGCAGTAATCGGAAACATTAGGGCTTGAAGAGGTTATTCAAGGGGTATAATTTTGGAGTATAAATTTGGGAAGAAAATAAGGGACAGGAAGAATTCAAAAGATTAGAATTTGGGAGAACACAAACAGTGGATCCACCGGCGCCATTGCAAACAATTTTGAGCCATGTCATTCAAGGTTTCTAATCACCGGTTGCTATCATCTCGCGGTCCCCAACCAGGTAGTCTACACCTACCAACGTGGCTCAGTCCACTTGTCAGTCACTTCATGGATTTGTGCTATGTTTTGGTCTGGCCGACCCTAGATTTCTCCCAACCTACTCCTACACCAGAAAACATTGCACGTCGGGGCAGTCGGTGGTTTGGCATATGTAGCACATGTCACAGCCATCGCAACTGATGAAGTTTCACTACTTCATCAATTGATTTGCCATCCTTACCTAGTACCCAATTCCTAACAACTGCATTACTTACTCGCTGGTCCCAGGATATACGACCAATGTTTCGTAAACATCTATGATCGAATACTAGTAAACTACGAATATCCTCTACTCTTTCCGGTCACGTTTCACTGCAAGAAAGTAGGACAGAACGAACTGCTGCGCAGTAAACACGTCCTTTGGTTGATAGACGGATATCTAGCCTACGCCATAAATGACGCAAGTTGGCAAAAGCTAGTCGAGCCTTCTGTATCCGTGCTGAGATTTCGTCACACACCATACCACAAGAGTGATGAGACTTCCAAGATAAGATGTTTTTCCTTATGCTTAAAGTTAGTGTTTGTGAGAAACAGGCGGTTATCTGAGCATAACTGCAACAGACGGTCGCCATTATCTGTTCTTTGAGCCACAACACTTTAAGATCCACCCATTTGTCTTTCCCTTTCGCTTAGTTTACCTACTTCAGCATTAAAATCACCAGGCACTATTACTACATCAGAGCACCTAGCTTTTCGGAGAAGGTCGAAAAGCTTTCTGTAAAACTCGTCTTTTACATCATCCGAGCTGCAGTCAGTGGAAGAGTAGGCAGAGACGACGAAGAGACAACGATGAGTGTCCCTATTTTTCGAGTCCTTACTGTTCCATTTAGTCAGACGGTGCACAAACGATTGTCTACTAGGATCCAGTCTAAAGAGCTAGTTCTGCCCTGGGACTCAATGCTATACCTACGCCAGCAAGGCCGCGGGAAGCAGCATCTGGGCTTCCAGATACACGAAGCGTAAATCGAGTTGGTTCGTTACTTTGACATGGTGAGGTCAAATGAATGACACTACTCGGATCCTGTATCCGCGTTTCGGAGACGTAGCACACATCGATGGCGCGAGGTTCTAAAGTCCTAGCTAAGGAAGCCTGTTGTCCTATTTGGCACAGTGTTCGGACGTTGAAAGCTCCTACGTGTAGTTTAGAGCGTGGTTTCAGGAGACCAGGAATAACGTCCCGCGTACTCAAATCGTTTGCCTTAGAGGTGCGAGGTGATAAAGGGAAGTGAGAAGGGTTAGTCATGGAGATAAGAGATTTATTTGGAGGTGTGGGAGGGATTTGGATGTGACCGACTTGGTCTCGTGTGCTGCTACGAGGATGAGGGCTGATATCACTTCCCGGCTGCCCACACCGTGGAAAGGTATTTCTTGAGGAACCTGAAAAAGAAGTTGGATTAATGTTGGCCTTAACGACCTGGGAGCATGACCGCAGAGCCCAAGGGACAACTACTTGAGGCCGGTCGCGCACGGCCTTTTTGTGGGAGGTTTTTAATGTGTTAGCTCCGTTCTTCAAAGGGCCTCACCGCCGGAAACGGAAATCCGTGAGGTAAGATGACATTTTTAGGGTCAACCTTTTCTAACCCCACCCCTCCTTGTGGGAAGGCAGCATCGCTGTCATGCTGGTTGTCCGAGGGAAACACCTTACTGCTGTCACACCCCTCTACAGTCAGCAGTACGACTTCGCCCTCAGACCTTGAGTTGCTGCTTTTAGTCTTACCGTTCTCCAATCAACCTGCCTGGCATGGTAGAACCTACAGGGACATATGCTCCAGCCAATATAGCTCGGTTGGATCATCACGATAGGCAAGCCTGACCACCACGTCAAGGTAGCAGCTACGGTCGTGCAGTAGGAATTAGCAATAATGTGTGAGCGAATGGTTCATGAATTTAAAGTATATAATTAACATATTACAATTATGCATAATATACTTTTCTTCTAGTAAACAGATTAAGTGAAAGAGTTTAATTGTAGTTAGCCAATAACTAATGCAATCAACCTTAGTCATGGTAATCTACAATTTAACCTACCAAATGAAATCATCTGCAGTTTGTTCTGCAATTAAATAACGTATTAACACAGAATCCATTTGACCAATTCGATATGCCCTATCTTCAGCTTGAACTAATACACCAGGATTCCAAAATAATTCAGCAAATATAACTAAATTAGCTGCAGTTAAATGAAGACCTACAAATAATAATAAAGAAGAGGGTTATGCAAAATAATTATCATATGATAACTGACTAAAATTGAGTAGTCCCAGGAGCCGTGATCAATGAAGTTCAATAATGTCGGATTTAAGGCAGTTGTTACCCGCAAGTTTGGAGCATTGAATGAAGTTAGACACTCAAGCATTGGATACCGGCCTACTGGTCTAAACAATAGATTCTTTCCGTTAGACCTGATTCGTCCACCGGTGGGGTCGACGATACACACTGCTGACGAGACCCATGCTAAGACGAAAAAGTTATTCAGTGGTTGCTGGTTCTCAATAGCTGTCTAATTAAGATCATTTAATGATATAAACTTTAAAAAAACATGGTAAGTTATAATTGATAGAACGGTAAATAGATATTACTGAGGAAAAAACTAATCCAATAATGTTTATTAATATTTTAGTGGTTGATTAATCATCAAGACCATTGCAAGATATATTCACCTGTATATTTAAATCGCTTTCTTGTGAATCTAACGAAAATACTACAGTCAACTACTTGCCATTCGTTTCAAAAAGTAATTAGCTAGAGTTTGGTGTAAGAAAACAAGACATCATCAGCTACTACCCGTTCGCAGTAGTTATTTAAAAGATATTTACAAATACATACTGAACCACATCAAATAGTCACAAGAATGTTTATATATTCACTATGGAAGGAATTTGTGTTTGTACGCGGAAGAGTTTTTCCTACCTCAAATTTAGTTGACTTAAAATCAGGAATCTAAATTATAAAATTACAATACTTTAGTGATTGAACACGATCAGTTGATGATATATATATATATATATATATATATATATATATATATATATATATATATATATATAATGTCGGAGAACTATATTCTCTATGTCCAATCTTTCTGATTATCATCGTCATTCATTCTGTTAATCTTATCACGTCAACTTGAACTGACGCCAAACTCTACCAAGCTCTACGTTAAGACAGACTGAAAAAAGTGAGTCCAACAAGACAAATTGTGAAAAGAAACCATAGATCAATGACAATAACACAATAATTCACTGACAAACAAAAAACGAAACTCATTATTACTGATAATATCAATAACCTAAATGGAAATAACTTATTCTACCATTTGTATTCATTTTACAAAGCAAAAATAAACACACATCTGTATTCTTCAACTAAATACAGGACATTTTATTGATGAAACTGTTATGAACAGGTACATATACACACATACATGTTTACTTCAGTTACTCATACATAAATTAATTGAACCAAGAATGATGATAATGATGATGAAGATATTGTGTACATCGTAATTAGTGACAATATTACTAAGTACATAACATTGTCCCCTCATTTTCTACCAATCAAGACAAAAATACACAGGCATACACAATAAATAATTTCACAGTTGCTTAAACAGATTTCACGCTTGACTAACATCTACAAAATATAACTAAGCAAATAAATAAATGTAACCCATATATAGAAGGTATTTTTCATTGTTGAATATTTATAACATTACATTGTATATTGGGAAAATAAAACAAAACATTAACGACAATAGGCATAAACACGTCACTATAGGCGACGATAATAAATGTTTTATTCTAACAATATCATATATATATATATATGTATGCATAAATGGTATATGTTTCAGAAAATCTATACTGCATCATACCTATTTACAGATGATTAAAATGAAAACATTGAACAATGAAGGAAAAAAGTGGAAATAAGATAATTTGTGACACTTGACAACAAATATATATACACACACACAACTTGTGCTGTTTAAAAACAATCATCGTTGAAAGTGACTGTGTTTTGAGACAAGGTAGAAACAATCTATCGATAAACATAATACCGAATGAGTTATGTAACTTTTAATTAGCTGAATTTATAAAGCAGTGAATGTCAATCCTACTGTTATAGGAAGTGACGCGTGTACAAGTCTAAAGAATGCTTCAAAATTGAATGAAAAAAAAATATCTAATCCTCACTGATTTCGAAAAAATCCATCAACGTAATCCAGTTCATATAGAAAACCATCTAACGTACAGTTCCATAGAAATAGGTAAATTAGAATTGTCAATTATTCGTTTGAAACCTAGTTAGATATACGTAGTAAAATATGGTCTCAAACACACCACTACTTTATCAACCAATGTGTTATTGTTATGTTTTCTACTTCGTTAAGACAGAATACGATATGCAACTAAAGGCACTCGAACGTGTAGAAGCCCACAGTCGCAAACAGAAAGACGAAAAAAGCAAGGAAAGTGGTTACTGGGTAAGACTAAAAAAATGTACAGATAAACATTGATATTTATGGTTATTAGTATTGGCTAATAACATCATTATAATCCAGCAAATCCTCAAGGAGACAAGTTATGCAATTGTCTATTCACAACATGCCATATTAATACTGCAGAAGGCTCTATCAGGTTCTGATTGGACAGAATCTCTTCGGCTCCTTTAGAGCCTCTGGAGGCTCTGCAATGCATTTTGGAGCCGTCCCAACAGTTATCATTGTTACACAGGTAGTTGTTCACCTGTGTCAGTGAATCTATTATTAGTAAGACAGCAATGAATCATTATTAAATACAATGGAGAGGAATTACAGTTGATTTGTTCGAAGACTGAATAGAAAAGCATTGATCAATTTAAACCAGAAGGCAAGCAAAGTAGTAAGAGAAGTAACAGCAGCATAAAGTAGGATTGAGTGTAGGGGTTGTTAAAAAGGGAAAGTAAATCTCCAAATAAATTTATAAACCTTGTATTACACATATTCAATCACCATACAAAAAGACATGTACAAGTTATCTGAATAGATTTACATTATAGGAAAAAAGTCAATGATGATGATAATAAGATATTATTTAGGGTTATATTGCACATACAGATGCAAACTTCTATATCACAAGCCTAGACATGTCAGGCACTAGGGTTAATCGGCGTAAAATCGATCCAAATAATACAACTCACTGACTAATCCATGAAGCTATAAACCAAACATGTTATGCGTTGGTTTAAAATGTCCGTCTATCCCACCCATTACTCTGATTATTATTCAGTCCATATTCTTCCTTACATATTGCTGGGAACTGAGGTGTCCTGTACAGATAGACCAATGTGTGCAAAAAAGGAGAAACGGAACTGACTTAAAACTAACCGTAAACCATTTAAACATAGATAAAATGTTTGGTATTTTTTCTTACCTGTCCCAGCTGCAGTAATTGAAAGCAATGCAACACGACAATCGTCCTCATTTTGAAATATTTGACAAACAACAGATCTCTGTTCTGAATTTGTACGACCGTCAATACGAATAAAACGTATAGACTAGTAAACCGGAAAAAAATAAACAAGCGAAATAGACCAAACTGGTGGATATTTTTTTTTACAGGAACCACCAAATACGAACTAAATGTTCTGAACAGGCAAAGAGCTTCCTGTGACGACTGTAGGTCTTGAGTTTTGTTATAAACTGACAAAAACTGATGTGGCCAATTTTTATAATTGCGGAAAAAACTAGTACTTGTTACTTGTACAAACTGAATAAAAATACTGATATGACTAGATGCAAGCGAGGGACTAAAGGTGCAAGAATGAAGACTAATTATGCCCAAAACCAAATGAGAAATTATATCGAATAAATTGAGTTATATATGATTTACTTATTTGTCAATTATCAGTATAGGGGTTGTGGAGATTATCAAGTTTTTGATTAAAATCATGAACTGGTTGATGTTAGATCACTATTGAAAACCTGGAAGCACTGGACGGCCGTTCCTTCCTATTGTGGGACTCATCGGCAGTGCGCATCCAAGACCCCTCCCACGGGATTCTAACTCAGGGCCTTCATTCTCGCGCGAGTGAATTATTTCAGATAAAGAAGTTCCTTTTACTTTTATGGAAAAAATAAACAAAATAACAGCAAGATAATCGCAGTCTTCTGTTTTGAATCATATCCGATAACGTCTCAGGCATTATATCGCACTATATCTAGGATCTCAACCAGAGAGTCATGAAGGGCTGAGTGATGCTATTTTTGTACAGCTATCTTTCGTAATCCGGTTCCATGTTATATACTGACGACATCCACATTTTTTTACAACTAACTTCAAAATACCCTTATACGGTTGAAGATGAGGAGAGTATGCTCTCAACTGCCAGGGTGTTCCTCATTACTACCTCTTCTTGCAGTAGGGATGTTGTTCAAGGAGGTGAGAGGATGAAAAGAGAATGTCCGGTGCTTAAACAGGGTTAAAGGATATATATATAAGCTGGAAAAAGTTACACTATATTTAAATGCTGAACAAATAATTACCACGGTCATCTTAATAGATAAGTATCAATTGAAAAAGTTATAAGCTTACCTTTTCTGACAGTAATTTATCGAGACTATCTAGGACGTCTGTATGATGTGCGAAAAGTAGGAATTTGTGACCACATTCGATTATATCTAAAACATATTGTCTAAAATATAAACATCCGTGAAGATAAGAAAATAAGATAATTAATGTTTTGTAAGGGATTAATTGGTTATATGATCAATAGATACTTGCCAATTAATTGGATAACGTAACTCATTCATCAAGTGTAGATTTGAATACTCGAGCTTTTAGCCGAACTTAGGTTAGTGATATTTAATAGTTAGTATGATAATAAACAATAGCATCGACAAGATAGAAGATAATCAAAAACGTGTATGTGAAGAATAGTGATACCATTTGATTTTCTAAGCTGATCCACATTTAGTTGGGTTTGTATGTCTAAGCATGTAGTTAAGACTGTAAGTGATGAAAACCACAAAGCTACTGTTCCAATTTATTCGTTTGCATACAGATACCGAGGAACTGTAGACCTATTTAAACTTTTGAGTCAATATTTTCCAAAGGTACATTTATTTCCATAGGTTTAAAAACGATTTTCACAACTACTACCACCACAACAATGGTTTGAATATTTTCCTCCTCAAACTACAGAATTAATGATCTAAAAGACAGCAGAAACTATAAAAATGCGTTTTGTATCAGGAAACAAACCTAGATTCCAATATATCATTTCGCGTTATATCAGTGAAAAAAAACATGTGAGAAATACTACAAAAGTTATAAACAATTCTAAGTGGACAAAGAAATTTAGGCCCATCTTTTATACACGATCAATTTGAGTGAGTTAAAACGATGTTATTGTTAGCATATTTAAAACCATATGGTAACTATAAAAACTATGACAATTAACACTTTGAAACACGTAAATTAGTTTATATTTTTTTGTGGACGTGTTAGCAAGACATCGAGGCAAAACCAAAAAATATACATAGAGAGGGTTTGTGGAAACCGGTACTTTCACGATTTACATCCATGACTTACTTACTTACGCCTGTTACTCCCAATGGAGCATAGGCCGCTGACCAGCATTCTCCAACCCACTCTGTCCTGGGCCTTCTTTTCTAATTCCATCCAATTCTTGTTCATTTTTCTCATGTCTATCTCCATTTCCCGGCGTAATGTGTTCTTTGGTCTTCCTCTTTTCCTTTGACCTTCAGGATTCCATGTGAGGGCTTGTCTTGTGACGCAGTTGGGTGCTTTCCTCAATGTGTGTCCTATCCACTTCCAGCGCTTCTTCCTGATTTCTTCCTCCGCTGGGATCTGGTTTGTTCTCTCCCACAGTACGTTGTTGCTAATAGTGTCCGGCCAATGGATCTGAAGTATTTTGCGTAGACAATTGTTGATAAACACCTGTATTTTCTGGATGATGGCTTTTGTAGTTCTCCAGGTTTCTGCCCCATACAGTAGAACTGTCTTGACATTTGTATTGAAAATCCTGACCTTGGTGTTGGTTGACAGTTGCTTTGAGTTCCAGATGTTCCTCAGTTGTAAATATGCTGCTCTTGCTTTGCCGATCCGCGCCTTCACATCTGCATCAGATCCACCCTGTTCATCAATGATGCTGCCCAAATATGTAAAGGTTTTTACATCTTCCAAATCTTCTCCGTCAATTGTGATTGGATTGGTGCATTCTGTGTTGTATCGGAGAATCCTGCTTTTCCCTTTGTGTATATTGAGACCTACTGCTGCTGAGGCTGCTGCCACACTGTTCGTCTTCTCCTGCATCTGTTGTTGCGTTTGGGATAGAAGGGCCAGATCATCTGCGAAGTCTAGATCATCCAACTGCATCTTAGATGTCCATTGTATCCCGCGCTTCCCTTCAGACGTTGACGTCTTCATGATCCAGTCGATCACCAGGAGAAAGAGAAAGGGTGAGAGTAAGCAACCTTGCCTAACACCGGTCTTCACTTTGAACGACTTTGTCAACTGTCCTCCATGCACGATTTTGCAGTGTAATCCATCATATGAGTTCTGTATGATATTGACTATCTTCTGAGGCACGCCGTAGTGTCGAAGAAGTTTCCATAGTGTTGTTCTGTCCACGCTATCAAATGCCTTTTCGTAGTCAATGAAGTTGATGTAGAGTGATGAATTCCATTCAATTGATTGTTCCACAATGATCCGTAGAGTTGCGATTTGGTCTGTACACGATCTATCCTTACGGAATCCTGCCTGTTGGTCACGAAGTTGGGCGTCTACGCAGTCCTTCATCCTGTTTAACAATACCCTGTTGAAGACTTTTCCCGGTATTGAGAGAAGAGTGATGCCCCTGTAGTTATCACACTTGCTGAGATCGCCTTTCTTCGGTATTTTGATCAGAAGTCCTTCTTTCCAGTCTGTTGGTACTTGTTCCTCATCCCAAATCTTATTGAAGAGAATGTGGAGTATCCTTGCAGTTGCCGCTACGTCTGCTTTTAGTGCCTCTGCTGGGATGTTGTCCGGTCCTGCTGCTTTGCCACTCTTGATTTGTCTGATGGCCATGCTGATTTCTTCAATTGTTGGTGGGCCAACATTGATTGGGAGGTCCGTGGGTGCTGCTTCGATGTTGGGTGGGTTCAGTGGAGCTGGTCGATTCAAGAGTTCTTTGAAGTGTTCTACCCACCTGTTTTGTTGCTCTTCAATGTTGGTGATTACCTTGCCTTCCTTGCTTTTCACTGGTCGTTCTGGTTTGCGGCGATTTCCAGAGAGTTTCTTTGTCGTGTCCCGGTTAAATTACTATTGGAAATAATGAAGCACTGCACAGTTGTTTTGTCCGTGCATGGGACTCCTAAGCAATGAGCATCCACGACCCCACCACTAAAGATCAAACACAGGACCTTCCGGTCTCACGCGAAATCGCTTGACCTCTAGACCACTAAGCCGGGATCCAAAAGATTGCATATATAATTGCACTCAATTCGCTGTAATGCACAACAATCTCTTATCGCCAGTGGTAAATAACTACTTCACAACCAACATGGTTGAACATCATTAGTTACGGCTTCCCACTAGAACTGTAGGAATTGTCATTAGTGAGAAATATGTCTTAATTGAAGGTAGTAAGCCTACTATTGAAAAGCGTAAGCTACTCATTAGTACACCTGACGCACAGTTTAAGATAGGTAGAATTTTTCAAGAACTCGTGCACAAGAAAACAACTTTCGAATACCTAGTTAACATAAGCATCTGTGAACTGTTTAATTTAATATACCTGTTATTTGCCAAATTTGTAAACTTGACAGTCAGTCACATTCAGTAATTTTTTTTCAACATATTTACCAAGTACAGGTAATTGTAATTGACTTTAAAACATACTTTTGTGAAAAGATAGGCGATTGTGCCTGGTTTCTTAAATCAAGTTAAACATAAAAGAGTTTGACTTGGAGATCCAACAACAGAAAGTCATTTCTTTTAACCTTGAAATCATCATTTGAAAGGATTACGCTTTTCTTTTAACACCCTTTCGAATCTATTTAAACGACTGACGGAATATTTATCAATATAAGAAATTAAGACCGACAGTTATCGTAGGTGCTTATTACATGTTCATTAGACTAGTATGTATTTTCAAACTACATATTTTCTGAGGTTATAACTTATATAATCATCACTTCTGCATGATTAAGACTATTAGATTATTCGTCAACATGTAACCGTGTATTAAATAAGATTAAAAAGTAAATTGAGTAAGTCTTTCAAAAGTAAGAAGTACTAATAAACAACAATAATAATGAAATAACGTACTCTATAGCTGGAAGTTTTACTGAACCAGTTGCATGGAAATATTCGAATAGAGCAGAGCGTTTCTCTTTACTCTATAAAAAGAAAAAGATTATATATAAATATATAATATTAATGAATTCTATTTAACCTCTACTCAAAATCAACTTACGGATAATTTATCAGTTAACATTGTTTTAGCATGTCTACCCAGACTTCCTTTTTTAATTATACTTGGATCTAGAACAACTAATTCACGACGTTTAGCCGGTAATTGTGATAAAACATCAGCTTTAACTCGTCTATTAAAAGAAAACGAAAAACAAAAACACTGAAAAAAAAACATTTTTATTAAGAGCATGATGTAAAATGAATAAATTGAGAAAATAATATCGATAAATTCTGTTAGATAGAAGCAAAAGTAGTGGTGTTATCGTGTGAAGATTGTTCTTCAATGTCTTGGTATGTCTGGGAGTAGGGAACGTTCACTCTCTTCCTCGAAATGTTCTCATATAGCCACTTGTTTATAGTCTATGTCGGGGAAGTCCTACTCACTGGGTTCACGTGCTGTAGGCATTGTTTACGAAAGTGAGAGAACGAAAAGCAAACGTCTAGCTCATAGACCGAGTTGATGGATATGGAGGGATTACATAAGGCAGATAGAAAACTGTGATTGTAAACTAAAGGTGTAAATGTGGTCTGGAAATGAACAGGGTCTAAACTTATTTTGATCACAAGCTACTATGGGATGATATTTCCAAGTGTTATTCCAGTAACTTGGGGATTTAGATTCAGGGAGTGTCTAACTACGAAAATCATCTGCTTCGTTTTGAGTACTCACACAGTATCCAGACTACTCACAAATACGTTAGTTAACAATCTAGAGAAATCATGTGGAGATTTATGTACTGGACTATTCAGTTGTAAAAATACTTAAAGTTTGAAATGCCATTCATATACCAGTGTCGAAACACAGCAATGGAATTCAGTCATAAGGAACCTATGAATCTATGTAGAGTATTGGTTATTTTCATTTATAATTCATTCCAATTAGTACTGTAGATTGTTAAGGTTATTCAATTCTCAAATATTAAATAATAAGAAAAAGTCGATTTTAAAATTCACATTCCGACCCAAGATGATTTTTCATCTATTTAAATTTTAGTGAATTCTCATTTATATTAAATCAACTCAGCATGAATCTAATCGGTACAGAATTGAATAAATTAGAATGTGAACTACTCTCATTTAGTCTCTACTAAGAAAATATTCATTACAAGATTTATGTTTTGCACTAACAGAGGCCAGAAGAAGAAAGAGGCTGTTGTATCCTAGTATGGAAGTATAGTATCGCATCCATATAACAAATTAGAGAGTCAAATTTAACATCTATTACTATCTATTTATATGATCAACTTACCAAGTGATAGTTTTAAATTACTGCTCGTGTGAGGGCTATTTATAACGCATGGTTGCTCCGAATAGAAGCAGGATTCGAACATGTGGCATAATTGAAAATTGCTCGACTTATGATCCATATAGGTCGATGTATATTATATGGTCGTACTGGATATCTGGAAACATGGCTCAGAATCAGTTTCAACAAGGGGGCTACATTAATTCCTTGACTTACCTTAGATCCTGAGTTGTAAAATTACCTCATACATTTTATTCCGTGAATTCATTCTTCGCGAGTCGTGATGTATATGCCTAATTTGTTTTACTACTACTAATATTGTCACTACTGCTACTACTCTGACGTTTTTCTTGGTAATTTCACCTCTTTTTATTAATATAATGTAGTAAATTCAACTGTTACTTATATATGCCAGGTTCTACGTTTCTTATAACTGACTGAGGCCATAACTCCTCATAATATTGTTAAGTATGATTCCGTGAAGCTGTCGTCGTTGATTCACCGGACTAAATCTATCGACTTTCATTGGAAAGTGTGCTATTTCTATTGATAATATCAGCGCTATTAAAGATTACGGTCTGAAAGTAATCAATAATGAGTAAACATAAACAACTTCCAAATCAAAATCTCATAGTCTTCATTACAGGTGGTCGGCTACATATCATTTGAGGACAACGGTAATTACTTTGATATTATTTGTAAGGCTACACTAGAAATCGATATAAAATAACGCATGAACTGGGCTGGAAAGCAAAATAGGAACTCAAAGGTCGGGCAAGTTGTTTCTCAAGTGATCTGACAAACCTAGAGAAAAAATCTTTTACGAGGTTGACTACTTGTAAGTAGGTTCAAAAATAAAACAAAATAAATAAATGGGTCTATACCTTATCATGATCGATTTTTCCAAGACCAATTGTAGTTCAGTCATATTGGAACAACCTGAATAATCCCATCCCCAAGGACATTCTTTTGCTGAACAATATCGTAGTCCAAATTCATGAAATCCACCTTGGAAAAGATTTGGAGAGATTGCAGAAATTTGAGGGAATAACTCAGCCGGTCTTGACATAGCAGGTGTTCCAGATAAGAGTAAAACTCTTTAGCCCACTGATGAATAAATTATAAAGAAATAAAAACACTGCACAGCTCTTGAAATTTGCAAATGGATATTTCAATACAAAGAATTCAATAAATCTATGCTATACAAGTGTAAACACCCATCCAACTCATAGAACTGGACAAATAGAGAATTGATGAAATTTCTAGAATCATAAAACTCTATAGTTATAAAACTCTCCGTTCATCGTCAACAAATGCCTGAATGAGTTCATAAAAAGATATCTATAAAGAAAACTCTAAGGTAACGAGAAAATCCGATTAGATGTCTGAACAACAGCAATATGCACTCTTATTTTATTAGCTTGAGTCGGTAAACTGGAACTCCAAAATATCACCAACGAAACACTGGATACATCCATTTTGAAAATTAAGAAAAACAAATTAGTTCAGTTTAGTCAAATTTAATGTAATCAAAGTTACTATTCGATAGAAATGTTTGACAATCATCATTTTGTTACAAGAAAAGATACAAGTATGAGTGTTTTATGAGAGAAAACGTATTCGAATGTGGTTAAAGTACGGAGAATTTTTGACCTAAAGTATTTTTGGTGTTATAATTTGTCGTTTGAATGCTTCTTGTCTTGACTCTTTTAATGCTACTTTTTGCATCTGACCGTCGCTGATTGTTATGTCGGAAACGCTTGTCACTTATACTCGGAACGAGGGACCTCTGCAATTCCCACGACGCGAAAGTTAGAAACACAAAGACTGGTATAAGTGATGATTTATTAACCCCAAAACACTATGACGACAACAACGACGATTCTAGTAGAAAATATACTCATTTATATATTGATTGTACACCCATTTTTGATTAATATTTAGGATGAAATCACATATATAACAAATCACATATTGAGCATAGTTCATGTCAATGGAATACAAGAATATCGCATATTATACAGAATAAAATATCACACTGGGAAAACAAAACAAATACTACATTGAGTAATCATTACATTCAATCGAAACGGAATTAATCTTGAACCAAACCTCATAATGAGTAAATCAATCGAAAATTGACTTTTCTTTCCATCTTATCATTTGAAAGCAACTCGGAAAATATAATAAACGGTGTGCATCATTACAGAAACATCGGATCTCACCATTGGAATTTAGTGAATGACTAAATATTACCAAACATCCGAGTCGTAACATCTACTGCAAAACAGTGTGAGTTTTACAGCCTGTGATGTTCAGTACACATATAAGTAAGAAGACTGAGGAAGTGATGGGGAACTTATAATTGGCATAACCGAATAAATATGTACACAAAACACTGGTATGAAAACGTTTGTTCTTCTAACTCGGACAAGGATATCTAGAATGAGACAGACTAGGTGCATTATTGACTTCAACAACGTGTCTCGTTTAGAATGTTACTGAGATTGGCTGCTTCTAATCGTGTGGAATAAAGCATTATCTAGTCTATACTCTTGTTTTCTATTCTGGGTTGTGAATCCTGGATCCAATATTAGCGTGACTAGTATGATTATCGTATTAACGTATTACTGTAGTATACCTGAAAGAAATGAAACATATTTTAAAACCATCAATTATATCACATCCAGCTTATCAAAAGGTTTCATATCTAAGATGAATAATTAATCTACTCAATTGTGTAAATATTCTTTGAATAATGGTGAAGAACACAGATTCTTGGCTGATCGCCTGTTCCCACAACTATCAATTATCAAATAAACCAAAAGTAATTTCCAGGAAGCATTAAATTCAACAATAGAACGAGACTGGAGTACTCTACACGAGAATACATCACTCTATACCTTCAACTTTTAGCTTCAATAGTATTTTGTATATTTCATTCCTTAAATCTATCCCATTCTTATTGAACGATATTCTTTCATACTATTATTTAAATCTCCTATGTTAATTAACTCGTTTATTTTATCTCAATATGCTGATCTGGCACAATAACTTGAGATGAAACACATTTTTATCCTAAACTCTATGACTGATTAATGGACATTTCACTTCCATAATCCCAAAGTAAAAACTACAACAATACAATTTTAGTGAGAAGTAAACTGTGTTATTATAAAAATTAAAAACATTATTAGAAATAAGTTAGAACTAGCGAACTAGTCACTAGTAACAGATACACCTTGGTAACCTATTAAGTTAGGGACTTTTTACTCCTATTCATTCCAGATTTGCCTTACTGACTAATTTGATTATCACCATTAATGTGTCAATAATAATTAAGTATTCAAAACAAGCAAAAATAAATCAATAAACAAACACATACACTACTACATTCGTTACATAATAACTTACCTTAAGAATTGGAGTCGCAGCTTTAGTCCTAGCAGCTTTAATATTTTTTATGAAATGAGATTCATCCTACAAACAACATAAATACAAAGTAGGCAGTGAACGAATTGGGGGGGGGGAATGTAACTTACGTCAAATAAATTCATTAATATAAATATAATAATTATTAAGAATCAGTTTTTCATAAGGAAATTTCCCATAGTAACAGGATAGGCTGTAAACGAAATTAAAAATTTATAACTGATTACCGGTAGGTCAATCGTTAAATGTGTGCAACAATTAAAATATTATCTACGCAGGACAAGTACAGAGATTGAAAGAACACAGAAATTTAGATACAATGGTTCAAGTGATAGGAAACCCTGCTCAACCTAGAGTTCGTGACAACTGACACTCGTCAATCTTGAGGGAACTAAGGGATTGGAACCATCATAACCCAGCTTCATACACGTCGCCACCGAACTACTCGGCTTACAACTGAACATCTGTACAATTGGTGTACTTACATTGATCGATCGCTGAGTGGAGCAGTGGAACAACGTTGGGAGATGCGATTCCATAGTAATCCGTGACTAAGAATGGGTTTATATCCTGTTTATTCCATCTGGATCCTGTAATCCATTCTCACCATTGTTTTAGAATCAGGGTTCAAGTACTGGATACTTGCTTTTCATCCTCTCACTTCTGTAAACAACACTCCCACCTCGAAAAGGAAGAGTAAGACTTCTGTGACGGTGGCTATATACGCCTGGCTATATGAGAGCGTTTCGAGAGGAAAAGCGAACTATCCCCACCCTCAGCCGTACTAGCAGATTTGGAAGCGAAAATATGTGAGTAGATGAAGTCTAATGTAACCCCGCCATGTTTTATCGGGAAAATAAACAAAACAAAAGGCTGTGGATAGAATGGATGGTTTATATCTGATAAAATAACACTAGTTGTTTGCAAGATTTTGTATCATCTTTCCACAAACATATTCAAAATGGTGTCAAAATATCCTACTGGATATCAGTAAATTCAAGGATTGATATCACTAGTTAGTTTGACGAATATACTTGATTCCATTGTAATCAACGTAGTAAGTAATAATGTCAATGATAGCTTGCTGAGTGCAAAATTTGTTTTAGAAATAGTCAACGTAAGATCAGTCTCCATAATAAGTTAATCATTTAATGACAGTTGTTTAGACTTATTTCGCAACCACTACGTAATTTATATTTTCCTGCCTGATCTTTTCTATTACCATTAAATGTGTTACTACCTGTACTATTCTGGGATTTTCTCTGACAGTTTCATTTCGCTGTGCTAACGGGGTATAGTAACTTAAATTGATGTACTCATGTCCCAGAGGTTCTACGTTATGTTTCACTGACTGAGTAAAATCACTAACACTGAGTGGACTTTGAACTCATTAATCGAATCGTAACAAGGAAATTGTATAATAAAATATTAGGAACGCATAAGTAATAATATTTTAGACCATATAAATCTCAGAAACACACCTTACTATTCCAACCATGTCGCTTAACATATACTTCAGTTGGGATAAATTAGTCAGATTGCTTATATACATAAAAATAACAGATCAATACTCACCGCAATAACAACACCATACCGCCGTTTCAATAATTCTTTGCCATAACGACTCATCAAATCATAACTAATTATAGTGATTGGTGATGAATTAAACGAATCCCAATCATCCATAATATCTTTACCTGAATTAACAACTGTTATATGTGTTAAATTTAAATTAAGTGGTTTGCCAAGCCAACGAATAATTTGATCTCTCCATGAAAATCTAACAGATGATGGTGTAATAATTAATAATGGCCATTCAGAATAATAAGCTGATGCAATAGCTAACGATTGAATGGTTTTGCCTAAACCCATATCATCTGCCAGTAAAACACGACCGGATCGCTTCAAAGCTAAACTTGAATGAATAAAATTGCAGTTCATTGATAAAAAAAACTTCAGATAAATCTATCAAGAGAGCGAACTATTACTGCGAAAGAGGGAGAGATGATAAATTGAACATAGTTCTTATATTTTAGGATAATTGAAATCTATACAGTAATGGAAAGAATTAAGTTAGATATCTTCAACAATTATGGTTGGCTCATCTAAATTGAATATTTCTACACGGATTGATCACTCAATAATAATCAATTTTATAGTGTCTAACTTCAACTGTTAATTGAGTTGTAATACGACCACTAGTCTAGGTGATTCCACATTAAATTTAACTAGTCGAATGTTATTAGAGGTATATGAGGATGCTTCTTGAGGTTAAGGGTGATCCTGATCACCTAGGAGTAAGATCATAGAGCTGAAGGGTCAACCGACTCAGATCTAATCATCCATGGCCTTTCTTGTGAGTAGTTTTAAGTCTATCAGATCTGTACTTTTTAAACCTTTACACCATAGATAGAAATCTTCAGACCAAGATGAGGTGTATTATTTTTAGGGCCGACCTGTTCCAGTTCCCTAATACCTCAATAAGAAGGCAGCACCACTGCAGATGCTTGTTCTTTGAAACACCATAGAGACGCCACACCCCCGAACAACTGATAGTAATACTTCAACATGGATTATAATTTTGCTGCTTTTAAGCTTACCGCCGCCCACCAACCAACCTGCATGGTACGGTAGAACCCAAAGGAATGTTCCAGCCAACTTAGACTGGGTTATCATAACAGGCAAGCCTGGTCAATCTGCAAGGCAGAGGCCATGACCGTGATGCTGTGTTTGAAGAAAATTGGCACACAATTCTGTACTGTAAGTTTCTCGTTAGTTAGTTCCCATTTGAAAAGCCATATATACAATCTTGATATTGGTTTTTACAAAATTATCAACTAGAGTACAAACGCATCGGTTTTGATTGACGTCAAATGCGGCCGGGATAGTTGGACAGAAATATACTGAATACAGAACCTTAATAATTCCATGTTCAGTCCAAGACCGAATTAAAATGAGCTGGTTAGTTTATTTGCAACTAATCACTGCTGACGGATGGATCATGAAGATACTAAACGGTTCTTGTGTGGATCCCACAAAAACTTATGTTTTATTACTGCATATTTCTTTTCTGCCTCCTTTTCTATGTTGTAACCCACTGTTATTATTATTATTTCTGTCAAGTAGAATGAAGTGAAGTAGTCAAACAGTAATAAACAAGAAAAAATCCAATAAACTGTCCGTAACCAACGCAATGAGTAAGGGATTTGAACCACAAGGCCAACAACAGTTCACTCAAAATTACAGATACAACTTACAAATGAGTACCAACAGCTAAGAGACCTATGTCTATGACTTTCCCCTTGCTCTTGAACGACCTAACATCAAACTTGTTTTCAAACGATCACAAATTCCATGAGAAAAGATCGAAGAAAACGACGAAAATACCAAGAGCTATGTTCAGACAATGACCATTTTAAGAATGAATTCTGTAATCGCTGAATGCACTCGGTTTTTACGGACCTCAAGTACCGAAATCCTATCACTTATATTTATTAGCTACAGTTTATTATATCAGTGTTGCATAGATTTATTAAATTATTTGTAGTTTATGTCATAAGCAAATAACATTTAACAATTAGAATACGCTAGATTAAAAAAATAATCTATAACGATAAATGTAGTGGTCATTACCATACACCATCTTTCTGAAATGGAAATAATGTTGACAATAGATCATCTGGTATTCTATCCTTCAGTGTACAATGATCGATTTCATCATTGTTCTCATTATCTTTCAAGTCATCTGCTCCAAAATTCATTGAAATTCGTCTACGAAATATCTATACAAGAAAGGAATTATGCAAAAAGCAAATACAACAATGAATTCCTGAGATAATAGTTGAAAATTTGAATAATAATAATAAATGCCAACTTTAAAGTTAAATGAAGCATATAATCATTGACTGCATAGGGTCTGTATTTTTTTTTCATTACTGATAGTTAGAATTTAAATGATCAATCTTAACTGGGCTTCTATCAACGATAACGTCTGCATTTACAAGTTGATTATATTTTGGATAGTAGCGGTTTCATCTCCTTCAGGACTGATGTTTAGTATTTCAGTGTTAATGCTCACAATGAGTCTTAAACAAAAGGTAATCATGACAGAGTACATAATTAACTTCTGGAAGCTGATAATATTGAGATATCTGTTGTGACTTTAAGCCCGGCTAATTATCACGTGATTAATTCGCCAATCGAAATACGACTTATTCAATCTTAGTACTGTACTAAGCCCGACCGTTGTTGCTACCTTGACGTGGTGGTCGGGCTTGCCTATCGTGATGAAGCAACCGAGCTATACTGGCTGGAACAACCGTTCCTCAAGGTCCTACCATGTCAGACAGGTCGGTTGAAGAGCGGTAAGACTAAAAGCAACAAACCCAAGGTCCGAAGGCGAAGTCGTACTGCTGACTGTACAGAGGTGTGACAGCAGTAAGGTGTTTCCTTCAGACAACCAGCATGACAGCGATGCTGCCTTCCCACAAGGAGGGGTGGGGTTAGAAAAGGTCGACCCTAAAAATGCACACCTCGCCTTATCCCACGGATATCCGTCTCCGGCGGTAAGGTCTCAATAAGTACGGAGCTAACACAAAAATTACCCATAACAAGGTCGTGTGTGACCGACCTCAAGCAGTTGTCCCTTGGGCACTGCGGTCACGCTCTCAGGTCACTAAGACCACCTCTAATCCAATTTCCTTTTCAGGTACCTCCAGAACAACCCTTCCACGGTGTGGGCAGCCGGGAAGTGATAACCGCCCTCACACTTCTAACAGCACTCAAGACCACTGACTGACTGACTGTACTAAACCAACGGCGTTCGATCAATATGAGCAGCCTAGCGTCCTTATTAGTCCTTTGTTCGCCTAGCCCGTCCAGTTGTTTACTCCAGAACGCCAATGACAGCTTCTACTATGCGGATCTTTTATATCAAATATCATTGGTTTATATACCAGCCAAACAGATCACATCACACCATGAAATAGGTAATAACATTTGTATAGGATCAAGCCAAAAAAGTGGCTGTGATCGTGGGAGACTGTGATTAATAAACTGAGCATAATTAAAGAATAGCAAATCGTATAATGATAATCTATAAGTCAAAATGTTTATAATAAGAGGAATATATATATATATATATATATATATATATATATATATATATATATATATATATATATATATATATATATATATATATATATATATAATCTGATTACCGAATAGTTGTACAATAAGAATACATAAATAATATTAGTCCACTAATAGTTCTCAGAAGTTACCCGTATTTTAATCTTCACTAGGATATAACAATATCTATTCAGTGAGCTAATACGCTAAAGGAGACTCTTCACGTTCAGTGCTGAGTATCAACAAACGGAAAATGAATATTTCTAAAATTATTGGCAATTATCATGTCCATTGAACAAGTTGATGGAAACGATGATTCTATAACCTAATGAGTAACGCTTTAATGCTTGAAACCATAGATATCAGGTTTGAGTTTCAGTGTGAACATCAACAATGAAATAAAACAGGAATTCTAGATTCTATTATTGTTCACTAACCAAACTGGAGTGTACTTTAATAATTTATGTACCAGATACATATTTGAATACTTGGTTTCGAGGCATGTAGGGCAGTGATATTACCTGGTCACCCAAAACGAAGTTGGCCCATCGCAGTTTGAGTCTGCGACCTACTAGTTGAAAGTCCAACTCTGTAACCACTGAGCCAGAGATACACAAAATAAAATCATCTTACTGGTTAGCTTTGCACTTACAAAAACTACTAACATTGAACGATATATAATATTTATAAAAACCTACTTTAAGAACAGCATATGGAAGTTCTTCCAAGTGTAATTCATCAATATCATTGACCTTTTTCACTGTATAAAAGATACATTTATAAAGAAAATTTCACATTTTTACCGAATTCATTATATTCTGATAAGTCAAATGACCATCTCCTTGTCTGAGAATCTATACGCACAAAAAAAAATAATTTGACAGAAGAATTATGATAAGACAGCACTTTGTTTTTCAGAATTAAATTTGATCAGTGTGTAAATTTAATATGAAATGGTATTCAGGCGATAATCGAGACAATATCCAAGTTCGAGGTATTAATAAGGGAATATTTCACTTGATATTAAATGTTTAGATGAAATTTCCAAACAAATACCTAGAAACGTACATTTGCCACTTTTGGCAGTCATTAAATGGATTCAATACATTGAATCACGAAAACTATTATTCGTCAGAGATATGAACCTATTTTGTTAAACATTACAGTCAGAGATATTGATTCGTTTGTGATGTTGGATTACGTGAGCTGGCTGATTGTTGGATAGTGGGATTTGTATGAAATGATCTTCAATTTATGGCTACAAGAATAAGCTTCATAAAGATCCAGGAGTTTCTATACTATTTAATACATTCTATGAAACCCCAGATTCATTTTATTAACCACAGAATCAGTCGTCAACTGGAGTTATAACGGAAGACGTAGACTTCCTAAAAGTAGTTCCAGAAATAGTTTTTAATCATGGCTTAGTTTCAGACAGATCTCATTGGAGAACGTGTACTTATTCTTTATCTTCTAAATCTCGAAATATCTTCTGGAATAAATAGTTCAAGACTAGATGTAGAAGAGCTTTCTATTTAATAGCTTACTAAACAATAAAGACTTAACCACAAACATCAAGAAAGTAAGAACTTTATACATTGTAGGTGAACCTACATGCGCAATTTGATCAATTTAATGTCAGAAGCTTTTAGAAAGAACCTAAGACATGTGATAATTTCTCTTATTACGACCCGACTACTCTCATCGCTTAGTATTCTTGGATACTACATCACTTGACAAGTACCCAAATCAGAATATGGCTGAATAGGAACATAATCCTATTCCAAATAACAAGGTCGAATAGAGGTAGGAATCACAATAAGAAAAACGTTAGTAAATTTATAATTTTTACATGAAAAGATTCTAGAGTCTTCTCCGCTAACACTGACTGGTTAAGAAACAGCCAATTAGCGTGCCCCAACACAGTCCTGTACGGAATATGCATTAACCTAATCTATTTCCCAATAACAAGACACATGTTCACTTACAGTAATTAGTACTGTTTCACCGTATAATTAAGTTAACTTTCTTGGTTGATGAGAGGGTCATAGTACCCTATAACAGTACTGTAGGTATTGAAACGGCGACATTTCAAAATATTACAGGACAAATATGCCTTCAGGACCAGGTTACATTGTCGTATAATTTAATTATATGGGATAAAATAGCCGAGTGAGTCAACAAATTTACCTACTTTGGAAGTCTTTCAATATTTCTTCCGTTAGTACCACATCGGCATTGACATAGAAAAACCAATTTGCCGATGCTAATTTATCGTAACTAATATATATGGACTAAATACTCCCAGCGTAACAGAGTCTACTTACACTGCTAAAATCTCAGTCAGTCAGTAACAACGTAGAACTTCGTACGTATGTACATCAGTTCGATTTGCCATACCATATTAGCAAAGAGGTACAGTTATCGATTCCAATCCGTAGTGGTAGAGGTAGTAAGAGTATAAGCAGTAATCGGAAACATTAGGGTTTGAAGATGTTATTCAAGGAGTATAACCCAGTGAAATAAATTTGGAAAGAGAAAAAAGAAAGGGACATGAAGAATTCAGAAGATTAGAATTTGGGAGAACACAAACAGTGGATCACCTGCGCCATTGCAAACGATTTTGAGCCATGTCATTCAAAGTCTCTAACCATCGATTTCTATCATCTCGCGGATCCCAACCAGGTAGTCTACACCTACCAACATGGCTCAGTCCACTTGTCAGTCACTTCATGGATTTGTGCCATGTTTTGGTCTGGCTGACCCTAGATTTCTTCCAACCTACTCCTACTCCAGAAAACATAGCACGTCGGGGCAGTCGGTGGTTGGCATATGTAACACATGCCACAGCCATCTCAACTGATGAAGTTTCACCACTTCGTCAATTGATTTACCATCCTAGCCTAGTACCCGTTTCCTAACAACTGCATTACTTACTCGCTGGTCCCAGGATATACGAGCAATGTTTCGAAGACATCTATGATCAAATACTAGTAACCTACGAATATCCTCTGCTCTTACCGGCCATGTTTCACAGCCATAAAGTAGGACAGAACGGACTGCTGCGCAGTAAACCGCCCATTGGTTGATAGATGGATATCTCGCCTACTCCATAAATGACGCAAGTTGGCAAAAGCTAGTCGAGCCTTCTGTATCCGTACTGAGATTTCGTCACACACCAGACCACAAGGGCTGATGAGACTTCCCATATAAGTGAAGCAGTCGACACGCTCAACTAATTCACTTCATATTATTAGTTCGGGTGTCGATGCAACCCAATCCTGAAACAACATTTCGCATTTTGAGGGGAGAATCGCATCCCGAACATGCGTGCATTGTTGCTTAGAGTAGTCAGAAGACTCTGCACTTTGTCAGCGTCTTCACCAAATACAACTATGTCATCAGCATATTCCAAGTCAACAACTGAATCTCCTGGTAGCAGTTCAACCCCTGGAAAGTCAGATGAGGAAAGTGTTATCTCTAAAAGCACGTCAACGATAAAGTTAAACAAGAATGGAGAGAGTGGACAGCCTTGACGAACACCACTTGAGGTAATCAATTCTGATGACAGTTCGCCATAAGCTCTCACTCGACCAGTTGTGTTCGAGTAGAGAGCCTTTACAAGGTTAATGTACTTCTTTGGTACTCCTTTCAGTGACAAATACTGCCAAAGAACCTCTCGATCAACAGAGTCAAATGCCGCCTTAAGATCGAGAAATACTATGATTGTGGGGCGTCTGAATGTGTGTCTATGTTCTACGACCTGACGTAGTGTGAATATCTGGTCTATACAACCACGTTCAGGTCGAAAACCAGCCTGGTTTGCTCTAATCTGTTCTTCACGAGCTTTGGTTAGGCGTCGAAGTACTATTGAAACTAATATTTTAGACACTATATTAGTCAAACTGATTCCTCTGTGATTGTCACAAGACGACTTTTGTCCTTTCTTATAGACTGGCACAATCAGTGATGGAGACCAATCAGATGGGATTACGTCAACTTCCCAGATTCTACCTAAGACCTCAGTCAATCTGGCTGCCAATACTTGACCACCATCTTTCAAAATCTCAGGTGTAAACCTATCAGGGCCTGCTGCTCTACTACGTTTCAGATATCCTATAGCTTTTTCAACTTCATAAAGAGTCGGAGGACTTACATTAACTTGCCATTCAGGCTGACTGGAGATCGTGGGAAACCGAAGTGTGGCTGGAGGCCAGTTGAACTGATCCCTAAAGTGTTCTGCGCATCGATCCAGTCTCCTGGATTGAGAATGAATAATATGTTCATCTTTTTCTGAGATATTTTCGCTAACAGTTGGGTTCCTAATACCGGTTTCCTTAACAAGTTTGAACAGTTGTCTGCTGTTACCCATTGCAGCCGCCTTTTCCACCTCTCTTGCTTTCACTACCCATCACTGTTCGCGATCATGGCGTAGGCTAAAATCTATTTCAAATGAATACGCTTATGAACTCACCAATTATGATTATCTTGATAAATTTAGTCAGCAAGTGATATAAATCCAATATTGATCGGTCTAACTATTCAAATGCTACTTCCACGTTAAAACTATTTCATCAAGTTGAAGTAGGTAGTTAGAAAAGCTTAACAGCAACCTAGTCTACTACCCACGTTTAACACATTACATTATTATAAAATGTTATTAGAGCATAAAATCCTCTCTGATACGTAGACTACTGGTTTTGATAGCTTTGTAAGGCTTGTAAACAAGTAATAATAGTGTCAAAGAATACGAGTCAGATCCAGATTATGTTTCATCCTCACTGGGAGTTACCTGATTTATCTGATTTACATAAACCCAATCATTTATTTATTTATTTGAACACATAAATATTGGTACGGGAGGGCACCAAATACATGTGCGCCCCAAATGCCCTGGTATGGCAGAGTAGGAAGGGCCCTCCCTCCCTCTTGAAATGCTCTCACACGGCTTAGCGTACACAGCCTCTGCTAGGGAAGTCCTCACTGCCTTCTCTTGGTGGTGCTGTTTACGAAATTGAGAGGATGAAAAGCGAATGTCCAGCTCTTTAAACGGGTCGGTTGACACGGCGAGTCCACCTAGGGGAGTTGGGAAACCCTGATTCCAAACCAATGGTGCACATGGGCTCCAGTATTCTGAGGGAACAAATGGCATATGAACTAATTGCTATTCACCGGCCACCATGGGACTGCATCTCCTCACGATGCTCCACTGCCTTGTGATCAGACCTTTAGGTTAAAGGCTCGGGGTGTGGTCCCCTAAGAAAACCACCTGCTTCGGTTCGGGCACCCGGTCAGTATCACAGCCCTCAAACAAATTTGATGAGATGACGATTAATTCACAAAATACTATGCTTGCTCCTATCAGAACTCAGACATTTTACGCTCACTTGATAACATTCAATCCAATCAGATACAAATCGGAAACCATTTTCCATAAATATGAAAACACATTTGACTCAACACGTTACCAACAACATTACATCATATCTTGTGTTAATGCTGTTAGCACGACAGGACAATACAATATGAACTAAAGGATAACAACTTACCATACTGTTTAGAATCCATAGACTTGAATAGCTGTGTTAATCCAACATGATATCTGGCATGCACTTCAAATCTATTGGGAGAGCACAGTGTACATAGTACATTAACTAAGCTGGTCTTCGGTCTGAATGCATCATTAGGAGTAGACTGAGTTCTCGAAGGAAAAGAATTCGTACTGGACTTAGGTAGGAAATTCGGTTTGACTTGAAAAGTTTGTTGCTTGACTACATTTTCAGTTGCCTTCACAGTTGTTGGTCTACTGTGATAGATTGTGTAAAAATACTTAATTATTGACTAGCAAGTACAAAGAAATTCGAAATTCACTGATGTTTAACCAATATATTTATTTTTTAATTGATGCGTTCATAGCCTAATTATGTTAACTGACAAATATTTAATCTGAATGACAGAAGTGATGCAACCTACAGCTCAAGAGGTGGCTTAATGGTTTAAGCATTCGAGTATGACTCAAAGCCAAGCAAATGAATACGTATTTGACAAACAAGTTAAGCAAGTAATAACAATTAATCAGGATATATATCAAGGAATTTGCTTGAAGTTGTTGTTGACGTTCATATCAAAAAATTTATTTGGTCCATTTTTGTATTGGTTATTTGAATCACCCCATTGACGTTTAGGATTGGAATCGATCAATCTCTTATTGCCATAATGTGCATCCTGCGCGGATCACACGTCCTAGACTCCACTGCTAGACAGCATCCATCTCTGTTTATAATTTATTAATTTGCCCATGTTCTCAACTCCCAGTCTTTAAAATATATACTTTGTGATAATGCACCTTCTAGAATGAATCGGAGTTGATTTCCAGGCGTTTTGATATCTTAACTATGTGATTAACTGCAGGTTAGAACTCATAGGATCCAATGGTTTTAATATTTATGTGGCATTTGAACCTTCTATATACATGAAATTTGGGCCAGTTAGTGAATATATATATGGTCATTTGAGAGGGATTTGCAACCAATTTGACAACTATACATCACTCAAACGACCTTATACACAATAGGAAAAAACGCATAGGCAATTCCATCAGCCAAAATAAATTTTATATAAACAGCCGAATCCAGTGAAACATGTTATTTGTCTTTTAGTTTTACTTTCTATATATGCTACACAAACATGTTAACCTTAGTTCATTCCGAGAATATGGACAAACTTACAACCTAATCACGCCTTAAAAATGAACGAACTTTACCGACCACTTTTAAGTTGCTATCAAGATCCCAAATACGTGTCTGAGTACCATAAGAACATCAGAACATGGTTGGCATTTAGGTAACTGACGTTCAAGCGAAAATCCTACCAGAATCTCAACGGCTAAGTTAGTCACTGCAAAATCCTACAATACCTAGAATAGAGTGACTGCATTTTAACAAGATCTGGACGACTGTATAGTTAGAACATTAGTACACAGAAACCGCTACTTAATAACGTCCAAATTAAAGATACCTTTGCACCCTATCAAGATGGAAAGATGTTGTGATAAGACCTAAATAACTTACCCAGAATTCACCCAACTTCTAGCCATATGTACAAAATCGTCTACCTTCCCAGCTTGCGTACTACCATAACACCTTGATAACATAAAGGCTGTTTAGCAACCACATTCTGTTTATTAACTGCAGGCACTGAACTAACAGGTCCGCCTGCTATATTTCGGTTACGGGACTCAAGAGCTTTTCTTCGTTTAGCTTCAATAAGTGAACGCTTCTTCTTCGGTTAATGCATCAGAACTCATGTTTCCTAAAGACAGTAAAAATACTTCAGTAAACATAACTTCACAGTAACATTTGAATAGAACTCAATGTTTTGTAAAACGAATTTATTTGGTAATTGTTTACGTGAAAACAACTGAATGCAACATTGCTCCTAGGATTGAGTGATGTTGGATGTCATTAACTCATCTACGTGCTCTCCAAGATGTCGCTTTGGATCCTAATAAGTGGGAGGATAAGTAATACCGTTAATAACATACCATTTTCCCAACATTTTTGATGGCTAATTGTTCTGGAGTCATCTTTTCCTCATCTTCAAGAGACTAAACAAAATGCGTAACACACAAAAAAACTAACTTTATGATATGACTTGACTAGATCAAGCATAGTTTGGAGAGTTTTGTGATTAGCTGTACAGTGAGTATTATAATCTTCCAAGGTTAGTCCATCTCTCCACGTACGTTTGTTCAGATTCATCAACATCTTATTTCGATGAGAATAGTCAGATATATAAAGCTCACCTTAATTTCCCACTTATTCTTACGGTAATTAATAGGTAAAGAGTAATAATGTCTGTTAAGACCATGAATAAGCGCTTGGATTGTTGGCTTGCTAAGATGACCAACATTAGATGTTGTCTGTCTGGGCTCTTGATTAGCAATAACAAGGTTTGGGTTGATCAAACGGAAAGCATCGATGACAACCTATGAATGATCTGTAGTTATGAAAAATCAGTACTTTGCCTTTCACACTCTGTATTGGATCAACAACTACAGCCACCGCACGATCCGAAAGCGCTTCAAAACTTTGCTGTGTATTCATATCTACACCAGATAACCAGCAACCAAATCCAGGATGTGAGTGATACCATCCGACGACCATTTCTGGACTTAAAAAGTAAAAATATGTCAAAAGTCCAAATACCGTCCAGTTTGTCTAAGCATATCCAACATTTTAGCCTGAAATACAGGGTCTACTGCCTCGACGCTCACGCCTGTGCCAGACTGGGGCATAGCAAACACATCCACAACCGTCACAGTATAGTCATCAACAAATTCACCTAGCATTAATCCCATAACCTCCATTGGGACTCCAGCTCTTCCATGTTTTAGCATTTTCAGCAGTGCAAGACTACTAATATACACCTGTTCAGCAGTATCTGGTACAGGACCATCTGTTGGCTGGGCATTTGACTGCCCTAAGGCGGCAAGTCCATCAGCACCAAGACGGAGGAGACGTTCCATTATGTAAGAGATCCGAAGAAAGTATTACTCAGAGATATGTACCGAAAAACGCGGAAGGTTCAAGGACACTCTAGAAAGCTGAATTAACTGACAGGTGTACAATATGTTTGGATTGGCGAGTAGCTTTGAGAGGTCAATCTTACGGTCATCTCAATGGCTCAAATGGCTCTGAACGGAATAACAGAAGCTTTGGCTTCCGCACCTAGTAGCAGTGAATCAATGATGCCTTCAGGTAGAAACCTCAGTATATTGACGATAAAATAGGAATAAGATAAAAGTTGGTTAGTCACAGTAAGATGCTGTCCTGAGACTTAGGAATATTTAAAGTTTCCTTTCAAAAGACTCCTGAGAGTCGCTTGGACTAACTCAGCCGGCAGCGAATTCCAACTATGGTGTCATATATTCAGTGATTTTTGTAACAACAAAAATAGAAACCATTTTTTCTTTGTAATTTGTCACACTTTATTTGTAACCACAATTTTATTCAATATCTGTTGTTTTGCTGTATCACTTGTTAAAAAGACGATAATTTTTGTTTCGATGAATGATATACACTTCTACTACCGGGTTGTTTAAAATATAGAACACTATCTACGCCGTTGTTCTTCTGTTTTATTGGCCACCGTTTTGATTGAAGACTATAATAGTATTATAACATCATTATAGGCCTTCCGACTCAACGTTGGACTTTTGGCGCGGTTTACTATTGTATAATACTATTGGACTCCGTCTTCCTCATTACGTCTTTGGTGCAGTCACTTGCAGAGGAACACCTGTCAATCAAGTGAACTCAGTTTGTGGTCGTTGTCCTCACGAGGCAGTTAACAAGTAACATTCATTCTATAGTAACTGTTAGCGTCTGTTTGTTTAATATACCTTTTGTATTGCTAACGGTATTTTATTACCTTTGTTTTTACTAACGGACAGACATCTAGGTTTCTTAACCATTAATTTGTTTTGGTATATCATTGTTAACCTAGTGTATCAATATATTTTGTGTAAGCTCCTTTTGTTTGGGGACCACCACAAATTTGGTGAGCCCGTAAAATTTTTTTTTTCTCTCTCAACTACTTTTGAGTTCACTTACAGACATTACGGCGTTATTTTACCCTTGGTAGTATTTAAATTTTCGTATATTTGTAATGTACTCATCCGAAACTGAAGGCATTAGCCAGGATAACATTTCAGCAGAGCTACACGCTCTAAATTTGATAAATGTGCCCCCATTCAGCCGATTAAATCCTCGCATTTGGTTTGCGCAAGTAGAAGTACAATTTCAGCGTCGCAACATACGCTCACAGGCATCTAAATACTCTTTTGTGCTTGGATTACTACCCACTGAAGTTGCATCTGAGGTGTCAGATTTGATAGATAATATTCCTGCACCTAATCCATATGATCAATTGAAGCAGGCAATTATTCAACGTACCTCATTATCTGATGAAAAGAGATTACAGCAATTACTGCACGATTGTGAGCTAGGCGACAAATCACCGTCTCAATTATTACGACACATGAGACAATTAGCTGGCCCATATAAATTTGATGACGCCTTCCTCAAGGAGATTTGGCTACAACGTTTGCCAACAGTAGTTAGGCAAATTCTTTGTGCCTCTAGCCAAACATCAGATTTAGAGAGTCTTGCTAACATGGCCGATAAAATTTTAGAAGTTACACCCGGTACAACACCTTACGTACAGACAATATTAGAAACTTCGAACGATAAGCAAACTCCCACCATGGCATCGTTAACTGCTGAGCTAGGCGAACTGCGAGCACATCATGAACGAACTGTCGCTAGTCTTGAAAATAAACTGGATGCACTACAATTATTAATCTCCAATTTCACATCTACAAGACCTCGTTCTTGTTCTCGAGGGAGTAAGAATCGAGATAACTCAAAAGGAAACAAAAACGACGACAACATATGTTGGTACCATAAAAAATATGGTGACAGAGCCAGGAAATGTGTTACGTCTTGTAAATTTTTCAAGTCATTTTCCTCACCAAAACGTGTCAACCAAACCATGGTAGCGACAAATGTTTCTGGTCGTGCGCCTACTCGTCTTTTCCACGTTCTTGATAAAACTTCAGGCTACAAATTCTTAGTAGATACTGGAGCTGAAGTTAGTGTCATCCCAGTTACCTTAGCCAATAAACCTATTGCTAAGAGTGGAAAATATACCCTAAGGGCAGCTAATAAAACCGAAATAAAGACATTTGGTGAACAATTTCTAACATTAGACTTGGGAATTAGACGTAATTTAACCTGGGTGTTTATTATTGCGGATGTCCGTCACCCTATACTAGGTGCAGATTTTCTAAGTTTCTACAACCTACTAGTTGACGTTAAGAGAAGAAAACTTATTGATTCCTGCACGAACCTTCAAATCCAGGGAATTCAGTCGGACTACCACATACATAGTATTAAAATTGACACCCCAGGAAACGACATATTCGCCACCATTCTATCTAAATTTCCCAAAATAACGAAACCAGACTACAGTGAAAACACTGTCCAACATTCTGTAGTACACCGGATCATCACAAAAGGTCAACCAACTTCGGCACGTCCACGCCGATTACCACCAGACAAACTGAATGTTGCAAAAGCTGAGTTTGATCATATGATGCAGCTAGGTATAATACGTCCGTCAAGTAGCCCCTGGGCATCCCCACTCCACATGGTGCCCAAGCGAGACCAAGATTGGCGACCGTGTGGTGATTATAGATCATTGAACAACCTGACATTACCGGATCGCTACCCAATCCCTCATTTACATGATTTTTCTCTCACTTTACATGGCAAGCAAATTTTTTCTAAAATCGATCTTGTGCGAGCGTACCACCAGATACCAGTAGCATCCGAGGACATTGCAAAAACAGCCATCATTACTCCATTTGGTTTGTTTGAATTTCTAAGAATGCCTTTTGGATTAAAGAACGCCGCACAAACATTTCAACGATTTATGGATGAGGTCACTAAAGGCCTAGATTTTGTTTTCGTGTATATTGATGATGTCTTAATAGCTAGCAGTTCGCTCCATGAACACGCTGATCACCTACATCAATTATTCGAAAGATTTCAGAAATATGGCATAGTGATTAACCCATCCAAATGTATTTTCGGAGTTGAGAGTTTAGAGTTTTTAGGTCACTTGATCGACAAACGTGGAATTAAACCTTTGGATACAAAAATAGAAGCCATCAAGAATTTTCCAGAACCAGACTCATGGAATAAACTTCGACGTTTCTTGGGGATGATAAATTTTTATCGTCGCTTTATTCCACATTGCTCAGCCATCCTACAACCTTTGACGGAGGTGTTAAAAGGTAAAGTCAAAAAGTTCACATTACCCTCCCAAGCGAAAGATGCCTTTTCTGCAGCTAAAACAGCAATCGCTTCTACTACCATGCTGACCTACTTAAGCCCTGATCCGGAAGCAACACTAATTCTGTGTACAGATGCATCACAGGCAGCAGTAGGTGCAGTACTACAACAGCGAGTTAATAATGAGGTCAAACCACTTGCCTTCTTTTCAAAGAAGCTAGAACCAACCCAAACTCGATATAGCACTTTCGGTAGAGAACTATTGGCTATTTATCTAGCTGTTAAACATTTTAAC